CACTTTGCGGTTCCCTTTCTTTCTTTCCTTACAGGAGTTCATATCCCTTGAAAGCGTGAAGTTCAAACTCCCGCGTCCCCACCATTCCACTTCCTTCCGCTCGATCGCGTCTTAGCCTCCTGCAAACTCTTGAATTGCGCGTAACAGCACCGATTCAACAGCTCCTGGATATCGCTTTCCAGTCATTTTTCCTCTCATCTCTTTTCTTTTCCCATCTCTTCCTTGACCCGGACGCTCCTACATAAGCCCCTTCATCTCAATTTCCTCAATTCTGCCGTGCCGGGACCTTCTCGGTCGCATGTGTTCGCAATAGCCGGATCACCACTGTCAAGGATGCTGCCTTCTGATCGCGCCACGGTCTCTGGCGTGTAGCCAACCTTTCACCATGTCACGCGCCTCGGCTGGCTTCGCAGACTTCTTCCCCACCGCCCCGTCAGTGCTTCAGCAGAAGCGCTTTAAAACAGCGCAAGAACGACGGAAATTACATGCCGAGGGTGATCAAATTTCTGAAAAGATCCTGGATTGTCCAGTGTCTCTTGCCCCGAGCACACCAGCGACCGTTGAGACGCCTCTCAACCCCGATACAGACGAGAGAGGAGCTCGCACTCCGTCGGTCCCCAACGAGTCTGAATTGACCGTTTCCGCCAAGGCGAAAAGCGCGGAGGATAGGACTGGGCTACCTCCACTACCCACCGCGAATCACATCCCATCACAGATTGATACACTGACACCGCTCACTAACGCGGAGTCGTCACCCCCTTGCAAATTAACTAGTCCATCACAGCCAAAGATAGCAGGCGGAGGTTCTCCGGGTACTTCTTCCAGGCCGAATCCTGAAATCACCAAATCTTCCATCACTCCAATCCACACCCCTCCGACACCTCAGTCGCAAACCCGACACCTGGAGCTCCGTGTGAGAGGCTGCAAGGTTGTCTACGACCCCGATCTGGACAAGCGGACCTCGTCAAAGGAAAAGCGGAAAAAGCTCGAGTATGTGGACATTGTGAATAATGGCCAAACCGATGCACCACCCGATCCGCGTCGTGCGATTGCCAATTATACCCGTGGATCCGGTTGCAAACAGAAGACAAAATACCGACCCGCGCCATACAATTTGAAGCCATGGTCATACGATGTGGCAACGAGTATTGGCCCCGGGCCTCCGATCCAGGTCGTGGTGACGGGGTTTGACCCTTTGACCCCGATCGCCCCGATCAGCGCGCTTTTCTCGAGCTTTGGAGATGTGGCCGAAATCAAAAACCGCACAGACCCTATCACCGGCCGGTTTCTAGGGATCTGCTCCATCAAATACAAAGACAGCACCTCAGCCAGGGGAAATGGCCCGGCATCAGCATCTAGCGCAGCCCGACGCGCATACTTTGAATGCAAAAAGGAACAACGCATTGGCACACGCAGGATTAGGGTCGAGCTGGACCGCGACGGGATTGTGTCAGATCGAATGGCCGCGAAAGCAGTCGAGTCCCAGCGACAGGCTTCCAAAATTAAACTTCCGCCCGCAGGTGAACCGAAGCCGGATGTCGAGATCAAGAAAAGCGGACCACCACCGACTGCGCCCAAAGGTCCCTCGGGCAGATCGTCCTTACGGCCGGGGGTCGTTATCCCGGAAGGTCCTAGGGCCGGCGTGCGATCCCCTGTTGTACAATCATTGGTCGAAGAAACCCCTATCTTGAGTCAGATCAAACGCGATCCATACATTTTCATTGCGCATTGTTACGTCCCGGTTCTCAGCACAACGGTTCCGCACTTAAGGAAGAGACTCAGGCTCTTTGCATACAAACATATTCGTTGTGACAAAACCGGCTACTATATCATCTTCGAGAACTCGCGCCGGGGTGAGGAGGAAACCGAGCGCTGCTACCGACTATGCCACATGCAACCCTTGTTCACCTATATCATGAATATGGAGAGTCAGCCCTACGGGAACCCGAACTACGAACGAAGTCCCAGCCCTGAACGCCTTCGCACCGAACGGCGTGACAAGGCCGAGAAGGATCGGGCAAGGAAAGAAGCCGAGTTGGATATCGAAGAAGAGAAAAAGCAGCGAGCGCTTGATTTAGATCCATGTCGAGAGGTATTGTCTATCATCATTCGCGATCTGAGGGACAAGCTTCTCGAGGACGTGAAGTCCCGCATAGCTGCTCCAGCTCTTTACGACTATTTGGAACCGAGTAAGCATGCGTCTAAAAGGGAACGGCTGGGTATTTCGGACCCCGAAGGTACAAAACGATCTGCTTTCCAAATTGACAGCACCCCTGGCTCTCGGGCTGAAACGTCTGCCGGGCGAGATCCCCTCAGATCATCAGGTCTGAATGTCCTCGCTCTTCCTCGTATCCGGAAAGCCCATGGTCTTGACCATGCTGGTGCTGCCTTCCTAGACGAACGGCGCAGGCAACCACTACGAAAGAAAGAAGTTCGGCCCTTGTATCATCGCTTACAGCAGTTGCACGACGATGAAGATTCAGACGACGACCAGCGCACTCCTGCTACTCGGGACGGCGAGGAGCGAGAGAGCCGACCCCCTAGTCGCGCAAGTTCAACGTCATCGGAGTTTGAACGGGATGGAGGATACCAGTCGGACGATCAAAGGAGCGAAGAACGCACCGCTCAAGTTATGGATGATTTGGATGCCACAAATGAAACCAGCGATCTTTCTCATGAACTTCAAGTGTCTCCCACAGCCAAGAGAAAGCGACTGACCGAAGATGACGAAGCACGAAAGCGACAGCGACAGGAGGATGAACTATTTGGCATTGACTCGGAAACAGCTGAGCATGAGGATCTGACCAAGGATTTGGAAACGCCGGCGGCTATTGGCGGTGATCTCGCGGAGGGTGGTGCCGAATTAGCAACGCACGACCAACCCGCAGACAAATTCACTGAGCATGTCACTCACAAATATCCCGAGGGTGATGATCTTTCAGTCAGCGAAACGTGGAAGGCCGAACCTATTGATGAGCCGAGAACAGAGATTGAATGGGGCGTTTCCACGGACGAGCCCCGCGCCACGGTGGAAGATGACGAGACCATCGTGCTTGATTTGGATGGTTGGCAGCACCTGGTCAAGGATGATGAAGATTTGCGATTCTTGCGAGAAGTCCTACTGGACCAGTCAGAATCCATTATTCAAAATCTTGCTGCATGGGGTTGGAAACAGAAGGAAATCAAAGCTCTCAATGGCCTGGAAACTGGCACGACCCAGGACGCTATCAGTATCCCTGGCTATTATGTGCCAAATACCACAGGTGCTGCGCGGACGGAAGGTCGAAAAAGGATTCTCGAGGCAGAAAAGTCCAAATATCTGCCCCATCGGATCAAGGTTCAGAAGGCTCGCGAGGAGCGTGAAGCAAATGCCAAGGCAGACCCCCAGGCAGCAGCAGCTGAAGCTGCCAGGATTGCAGCAGCCAAAACAATATCAAAATCGACATCCCGGTCAACCCGAGTCAATAATCGCCGGCTCATTGCAGACATCAATGCGCAAAAGCAGGCCCTTCCCACTGCAAATGGCGAAGGAGACGTTCTTCGATTCAATCAGCTCAAGAAGCGCAAGAAACCTGTGCGCTTCGCTCGCTCTGCTATTCACAATTGGGGCTTGTATGCCGAGGAAAATATCACCGCCAATGACATGATCATCGAGTACGTTGGCGAGAAAGTGCGTCAGCAGGTCGCCGATATGAGAGAAAGACGATACCTGAAGAGCGGGATCGGCAGCAGTTATCTTTTCCGAATCGATGAAAACACCGTCATCGACGCCACAAAGAGAGGAGGAATTGCGCGATTCATCAATCACAGCTGTACACCCAACTGCACTGCTAAGATCATCAAGGTTGATGGCAGCAAACGGATTGTGATTTATGCGCTCAGGGATATCGAAAGAGGTTTGTGAACTGCGCTCACTTCACAAGAAAACACAGGCTAATAAATTCTATCAGATGAGGAGCTAACGTACGACTACAAATTCGAAAGAGAGTGGGACAGCGATGACCGAATCCCCTGCCTCTGTGGTTCAACGGGCTGCAAGGGCTTCCTCAATTAAGCCCACTTTCCGAGATCTGTCTAGCAGAGTCTTTGGGAGGCATATTCACTCCCTTCTACCGGATGGCGTTGAATCAGGCTGGCGTTTTCAGCGTGGGAGCATTGACGCATTTATCAATGGCAATCGTGATTTCATAAACTACGAACTCTCTTGTACAATATACCAATTCCAAAAGAATTTCGCCTGTTTTCCGTTTCGAGTCGTGGCGCTGGAGCAAAGTCCTCTTAGAAACCAATATGAGAGCGTAGATGTGTCAAATTCCAAAGAACTCGACTCGGATATCTGATAACCCTGGTGGCACTGCATAGGGTCCTCTTTCGAAGAAAAGGAAAGGAAAGGAGAGACCGGCTCTCAAAGACCGGTTCGTAGCCCTGGGGTATCGATTTGCTTCGCAATTTGGGTGAAAAGCGCGCGGGGGATTGATGCGTTATTCAGACTGGCAAGATATTAGCAAAACGAATATGGTCGAGAAGAACAAAAGGACAATATTTCTCACCAAGGTGGCTTGGAAGGAGGAAGTTCGCAATTCCTTCCTTAATCATATATGAATGACCGCAGTTCCCACAGGTCAATTTCCCTTCTGTGACCTGCGTCTCAAGTAGCAACCGGTGCAAGTCCCTCAATGTCTGCTCGTTCTCGAGAGCATCGCCCTCGGGTTTCGAATCTGGAAGACTTGGGAATCCCAGCTGAGATTGCAATAGTCAGCTTACTTGTAATTGTCGGTGAATTACCTAGGTACCTGTCGGTGGACATTCCAGGTTTGGACCTTCATACCTCGTTGGAAATGGTGCGCAGGGCTTCCCAGTCAATTCGGGGAAGGATATTGCGGATGAATTCGGGCTGGAAATCCAATTCCTGTTGCTCTAGCTCGGCATCGTGGAAATGTAATGGGAATGATGCCGGCGATGTCTTGCATTCCTTCACGGCGCATGTCACGAAATTGGCAGTGATCACTTTCATTGCGGGGCTTTTGGGGGGTGATTATTGATAGATTGTCGACGCGAAGATTCTGCGAATGTTGCTCAAGTATACAGCTATCGACTTGGGTTTAGACAGGAGATCAATTTAAAGGATTATGAACAACGTCGGTGGCCCCTCTGAGGGAGAAAAAAATAAGAGCCCCACGGCTTATCAGATATCATGTGATCGATATGGACCACTACCCCGGCCCATACCGGTTGATATTCACTGCGAAATTGTATGTTACAATATCTTACAGAAATGTCCTATGTTCAAACTGGAAGCTTGGATTATCTTTGATTAGCTTTGGTCAGCTATTATTCAGTTCAGATCCTTCAAGGCGTATTATTTGATCTGGACATCCACCAGATCTAGGTCATCAATGTCATAGTCGCCAAGACATGAATCAGGGTCGAGTTTATCTCCATCAAATAGGAGGAAGATATCATGGTCCACAGATATATTCTGTTTATCTCGAAAAGCAGATATGAGTCGGGAGATGAGGGTTTTTTGTCTTGCTTTGATTCTGAAATCGTCGTATCCAGGATTCCTCAGAATAAGTTTCATTGGCTCACTCTGATCGTCTTCTGGTCGTGGGGATTGCGACTCTGTAGGGGGCGTGTCATTATGAGGCGAGGTAATTTGCTGATTGACTGGAAGAGGTAAATCGGTAACCGCTTCCATATGTATGCGCAGCTCTTTCTGGTCTGCACAGGAATCATCATCAATGCCAGGGATCGCGGCAGAGTTCTTCCCGGGTTTTATGCCTAGACTTCTGCAAGTTGTCACGTCGAATAGACGTCGGCCCTTCCAGGTCAGGTAGATGGATGCCTGTATATGGGGTTCAAAACTTTGGCGATTGCACCATGCCAACCGCACATCCCTTAGCCGCTGTGACATTTTTCGACTGACGAGCAATGGTTTGGTGTTCGTAATTTCAGATGTGATCAGGATCTGGACGACCGGGTCATCCGCTGGAACTTCCACCGGTTGAACAGGCTGAGGAGGTTGGACAGGTTGAGGGCTTCGAGTTTCCGAGTCATCCGTTAGGACAATCACAGGTCGAACAGGTAGAGCACCTAGTGGCTCCGGACCACTGACTTTCTGTGGTGACTGGGACAAGTTGTTTTCTGGGCTGTCACCTTTGGTTGTCTCGCGTTGTTTGACTGACTTGACTGACTCGGGTGAGGAATTATGCGAAGAAGCCGAGAGGTCTTGTGGCTCTGGTAACACAATTTTATCGCTATCAACCTCACGGGTGACATCCCGCACCAGACTGCTATCACCGCGCCCTTTCCCCGTTTCACTAGAAAGTCGACGCCGCTTTTTTTGTTTTGGATCTTCGGTATCTTTGGTATGTTCTGGGATTTCCGGTGATTTCGGCTTTTGGTGTGCTTCACGGTTCGCAGCAATGATATCAGAGTACGTTTGTTCTGAGCGTCGATAGAAATCAGTGCTGGTTGCCCCGGTATTCTTGATTGCCCACGAGGGCTTTTTGAAAAAGCTCATGACTCTCGGAGCCGGAATTGATCGCGTTAAAAACTCCAAGTATGGTAGGATGACCACATGGATTTAAAAGTGGCTCGGGATGCACCTGATTATAATCAGTAATATGTTAGTGAGAGAGTAAAATGTGCGACATGAGACAATTAGCAGCTGAGGGAAAATGTATCGAGTGGGACCTCATGGGACACCGTCGCACTTACCGCCTACTGAAATGGACTAGCGCACATTCTGACTAGCGGGATATTTGTTAATATAGGGCCTTTCTTCCCTTGATTTCTTATCAATTGATCTTAGATAGTTATGTGTAACTTATATCTACCAATATTCAATCTTTTCCATAAATTTGAAGGTTGTTGCAAAGTTATACAAGGTATGTATGCTATATTTTATGACCGGCAATACTGGCAGAATGCAATGGCGGTGTCCGATTCCCTACGAAAACTTATCAGCAGATCTCTGCCCCCGCTTGCGATAGTTCCTCATCCTCACCGCCTTCCTGGTATCTCACTTTCAAATGCTTCATCCCTCCGCCTACTTCAAAACACATCTCAACCAGGCATGTCTCCCCTTTCTTCCCTGAAATTTGTTCTGACTGACATTTGATAAAAATTAGGCGGTAGCATCGATATGGAGAACGCCCCAACCTCCGAAGGGAAAGACCCCTCTGTCTTTTTGAGTGAGATCATCGGTGCGCCTGTGATCGTGAAGCTAAATTCCGGAGTGGTATACAAGGGTACGGGCTTTTCTTTCAATTCCAGCTGGCTTCAATTCTAACGCGCCCTATAGGTGAATTGCAATCTGTTGATGGCTACATGAACATTGCCCTCGAAAAGACGGAGGAATATGTGAATGGAAAACTACGACGAAACTACGGGGATGCTTTCGTCCGCGGAAATAATGGTTCGTCAATCCTTTCTTGTCTTCCGATCTACGGCTGCCGCGATGGGGTTCTGACTAGAGCCTACAGTACTCTACATCTCTTCCAGTTGATCCAAAAATACACTATTCGATGTTATCGATTGGGCCCACCTATGACAACCTGCAGGTGGATAAGAAAGACACTCTTTGAGTGCAATTGCAATGATTTGGATTCTTCTAGCTAGGAGGAAAGAATACAAGCCTAGGTGGTGATTGACCGACTCTTCTTATGATGCAGTTGACCAGACTTGCGAGCCTGGAGTTATGGAGGCTACGGTACCTGGGGGATTCCTTTTTTGTTCCTGCTTTGTATCGCGCTCAATATTAGAGCTTGCGACTATGAGCTCATCAATTGCTGCCCAGGCGGCTTGGTATATTTTCTGGTGATGCGACGATGTGCCATTGACCTCGTGTTTTAATGCAACGTACACTCGCACAGTAATACATGACATTTGACCCCGCGATGACTTGGTTATCCTACCTATATACATTACGTACATATGCGTGTATGTACGTTGAAGGTACGTTCCTGGGAAGGTTGTACTATATTGGACCAGTGGACCTTGTTCCCCCGCCCGCTCGCGATAGGCATTGATTAAGTAAGCTTTCCCAAGTCCCCGCGGCACTTTTAAGGTTCTTTCCTCGCCAGGTCTTCAGAACTTTTGACCGTCACCTACGAAGATGTTACAAGCAATCAAGTTCAGCAAGGGCAAGCTTGAGATCCTGGATCAGTTACAGCTGCCCTTTGTCGAAGAATACATTCCCATTCGGACTACAGAAGATGGATGGCACGCCATCAAAGATATGAAAGTCCGAGGGGCACCTGCTATCGCTATCGTAGCAATGCTTGCCCTGGCCTCGGAACTAACCTCTGCTGTGGATAGCGACAAGCTGTCACAATCACCAGAAGAGGTGTGCCAGTATATCACAGAGAAGCTTGCTTATCTGGTGACGAGTAGACCAACTGCCGTCAATCTCGCTGATGCTGCGCGCAAGCTGGAGGCCGTGGTGATCAATCGCACGAAAGCACTGGGTTCTACCGGCCACGAAGTCGCGACCGCGTTTATTCAGGCGGCAGAGGATATGATGGGAAAGGACTTGGAGGATAACAAGCGAATTGGGCACCATGGCGCAGAATGGATCGCCATTCATGCGGCCAGAGGGAATTCGGAAGTTGCTGTGTTGACTCACTGCAACACTGGGTAGGGCCGATTCACCGCGTTACTCGTCATCTGTCGTATGTTGTCACTAATCCCGAATCACTAGCTCTCTCGCCACTTCTGGATATGGAACCGCATTGGGTGTGGTTCGTTCGTTGCACGAGAAGAACATCCTACGACACGCCTATTGCACAGAGACTAGGCCCTACAACCAGGGGTCTCGCCTTACAGCCTTCGAGTTGGTTCACGACGAAATCCCAGCTACACTCATCACGGATTCTATGGCAGCCGCTTTGCTCGCAGATACCAAAGTGGGCGTGAATGCAATTGTGGTGGGAGCTGATAGGGTAGCAGCCAATGGTGACACAGCCAACAAAATCGGCACATATGCCCTGGCTGTCTTGGCAAAGTACCATGGTGTTAAGTTTCTCGTTGCAGCGCCACGCACGACAATCGATATGGCCACAGAATCAGGGAAGGACATTGTCATTGAGCAACGTGCAGCATCTGAGGTGACTAGCATCAAAGGTCCCTGCGCGGGCTCTGAGGCCACCGACCAGATTGCGATTGAGACCGTGAAAATTGCCGCCCCAGGGATCAATGTCTGGAACCCGGCATTTGATATTACTCCTGCGAGTCTGATAGATGGGATTATCACAGAGGTTGGAGTTGTAGAGAAGGCATCCGATGAGAAGTATCACTTGGGTGGACTATTCGACGGCTCTACTTTTTGATCCTGATCTGTGCCCGGTTGACGCGGCTCTGTTTCATCGACTGATGTAGCCTTCGCTGCAGCAGTACCCTGCTTTTCGAAAGATGCTAAGAGTTCATCAACTTGGCTTTCGATTGCGTTGAGTTGATTTTCCAGGGCCGAGGCAGTCATTTCACCCCTATATATATACGATGTCAATCTCATGAATCCATTTACATAAACAATAAGTGGGCTCGCATACTTTGCAAGATCTGCGAGTGCCTATATCATGAGTTAGCTATCCGACCTCGGAGATGTAAGAGGGACAATGCTGCCTAACAGCATAGTTTAGGGAAATAGATGCTGGTTGCGAACGACAAGGTAGGGGAACGTACTTTCGCCATATCAAAGTCTGCATCCGGTCCGGACATAATGAGCGTTTGAGGTTTATTGCTGAGTATCAGGGAGTTTTGAAGACAAGATTGCCCGCGGGCCTTGCAGCGGGATGCGGGGGCCCGTCGACACGATTAGTCAGCCCGAACCCGAGATAGATTTCCCCGATAAGAGAAAAAAAACCTCTTCTCACTACTATCACCTGGGCACCATCCACATCTCGTCATCATGGGTGTTCAGAAGAAGACTCGCAAGTTTGCGCTGGCTAAGAGAGCCATTTCCATGCGCGACAATCGCCTGTTCGTCGCAATCACGAAACACAGTCTTGTTGCGACTTGCTAACAGTTGGTTATAGAAAGCAAAATCAAGACAAGGCAGAGAAAGGCAAAGAGGCAAAGAAGGATGATCTCGTCAGAGAGGCGTAAGTACATTATACAGTACTATCGTATGGATCATACTGACAGGTTGGCTTCTAGCCCCCAAGCTCCTTCGTCAATGTTCTTCCAGTTCAACACGGCCCTTGCCCCCCCATACTCCGTCCTGGTTGATACCAATTTCATCTCCCACACCATTCAGCACAAGCTCGAGGTCATTCCAACCATGCTAGATTGCTTGTACGCCAAATGTATCCCTATCGTCACAGATTGTGTCCTTGCCGAGTTGGAGAAGCTTGGCCCGAAATACCGACTTGCTCTACGTGTAGCCAAGGACCCTCGGTTCGAGCGAGTCAAGTGCGACCACAAGGGAACATATGCCGATGATTGTCTGGTCGACCGTGTCATCAAGCATCGTGTCTATATTGTCGCCACAAACGATCGAGATCTCAAGAGACGTATTCGGTACGTAACTTACATCTTGACCCCATTTCCCTCTAGTAGCGAAATCTTAACCACTACAATAGCAAGATTCCTGGAGCACCCATCATGAGTGTCGCTCGCGGCAAATATGTGATTGAACGACTTCCCGATGCCCCCGAAAAATGAGCGACTTGAACAATTTATCCCAGTCGTCTATCGCTATTGCGACCATCCACATGATACCCATAAAAATATCCGTTTCTTTCTTTGCCAGAAAGTATGACAAACGATTTTCGCCTCCAGACACCGGGCAAGCAACCGACCACAACACGCAAGACCGCAAGACCAAATTATGCTGTCAATGGCCCATATCTGATCAAACAAAAGGACTGCATCGAGAACCAGCAGCGTCGCTCATCCCAGGGCTGTTTCTGGTACTTTAAACCTATGTGCCAATGGAATAAATCATTTGAAGGACCGGGGCTTCTCAGGCAAGGTTATATACAATGGCACACTTATGTCTTCTCCGTCTATGATGACCACAATACAAACGTCCTGTAATCTACAAAGATGCATGGAAATCGAATCCCTAGCTGATTATAGTCATTTACCTGAGGGCTCCTGAGCTGTGCGGTCTTTACATTATGAAGAACGTAGTGCATTGGCTTGCAATTTATATTCATATTTGTTAACCATAGGTTTCTATCAATTGATGAACCGCATGCCGGACAAGATGCCTGTTGGCAAAGCTCTGGATAATCTTTTGTCGCGACATCATTATGTGTAGTGGAGGTAAATCCGCGAGTAGTGAGCTGGATTCAACCAAGTCATCACCAGGAGCTGCGATATCGACGAGCTGCTTCAGTATTCGTAAAGAGTACAGTCCAGCTTGCATTTGGGCAAGAAGGTGAATGTCCGCCCATTTAGTACTTTGCGCCATATATCCATTTGTAAGAAAGCTCTCCAATTCCTTCGCACTTGGGACTGTGGTTGTGCCGGATCCATCACGATAGATATCGGAAAGAGCAAACAAAAACCAGAAGCTCTCTGCTGCCAGACCTTCGTCAAAGGTAGAATGTGCGAGGGCAAGACGTCTCCGGAGAAATTCCAGGTCAGAGGTCACGGTCTTTGTTCCGCTTAAAGCGACCTCCTCGGCTACGATCCTTCCACCTCTGCGGACGAATTCATGAACAACCGGGAAGCGATTGGCAGCAGGACGGGAAATGTTGAAAAATGAGTACCCAAGGGACCTATATGTTCGACCTTGTTCCCAGGCACATCGCCTGGAAGAGTCTTCGTTCAGAATGCCGAGATAGACGTGCGGCTGTTCATCCAAGCAGTAGACACCGGGAAGTTCATACTGCCAAAACAACTCCGATACCCTCGGATCCAACGATTGCATGGACTGCGTCGTTTCACGTATCACCTCACTATCTGCGGTCTCGTGTTGATACTCTCGAAGAAACTCGAGATATTCAGAGGAAAGCCCAGTCGCCTTAGTGCTCTCCTTAGATATCCGGGTAAGTTCGGCAAAACGTAGGTGAGCATTCCTTTGCAATTCGTAAGCAAACCACCGAACGCTTGGGATTCCCAATCGGCCAGAGAGCGAATGGGGACAGATTCTCAGCCCCCGAATATCTGGCTCGGCTGGATCCCAGACACCTGAGGACGTTTGCACTGAGTCTAGAAACAAGACCGCGCCACGCTGGCCAAGATCGTGAAGCAGGAGATCTGAATCATCTGTCAACACTGCACAGCCGGTAAGTTCTGCCACACGGGCACACTCGGCATCTGCTTCTCCTGGTACCATGACGGTGATTTCCGCCCAGGGGTAATCAGTATCGGCGATAAAACAGCTGATATCATCGCCAACCTCTTTCCGGATCTGTTCCTTGTTCCATCGGCTGCGCAGGTCCTCAAAGACCGCCGATACCATGAAAGGATTCTCTGGAAGGCCTTTCCGTCGTTGAGGCAAGCCCCGACTGCACCAGACCTGCCCTCTTTTAGTCGGGATCACATCGCGACATTTGGGCGTTGCAGGCAGAGACAGACTTCGGCGAGCCAGTTCCAGTCGATGTCGTAACTTTTCAATTCTGGAAAAGCGGACTTC